CAGATTTTTTTTTTAACCTTAATAACCGAAATCGAAATATTCAGATGATTCGATTTTTGGTCGTCGATTTTTCGATTGGTCCGATTTTTTTGCTCACCCTTACTAGCAACCACCTGAGATCTTGCAAACCGGTGTGGTCTCCATAGTATATATCTTCCCTCAAAGTCAAACGAAGCTCCTCGGACATATCTCATCATCGGTTGTCCTCGACCATGTTTTATAAACTCCGTAGCAAGAAAATTTGTCACACGGTTCAGCTCTTAGAACATATGATTAGTTCAAACTAAAAAAGATCATAGCTGATCAGTTCAATTAAGAAAACCGTCAATAGACAACTCTCACAAAAAGTTAAACTTTACTAAATTATTATCAAGCTAACTGTTTAATTAACTTGGCTGAGTTGCCTTCCTTCTTTAACTTAAAACTATATAGTGATACAACATGATGACACAAGATTAATATTACATGATTATTACATAGACAGGTGGCTATCCCCTATACTTGCTGGTTGGTCCAATTATTAAATTATAAAACTAAAAATAAAAAAAAAATAAAAAAAAAAAACCATTCAAGCGCGCGCATGCATGCAATGATGCCGCAGCGTCGGTAGCCATGTTGCAACACTATATATACCCACTTATTATAATTATTCACAATGATACATATATAAATCATGATGAACATTTGACGTTTTGCTCAAGTTACACTAGCTAGTTTTCTATTCAATTCGCAGTTATTACCTGCAAATATGTATAGATAAATTATGCTTTTGTGCAGGGCTGGTCCTATTATTTTATAGGCTCGGAGCAGGATAAAAAAAATGAGCCCCGATTAATATATATTTTATGCTTAAAATTTAAATTAAATAAGAAAAAAATTAATTGTTATTAAAAATTTATAAAACAACAATTACAAACATATGTGAAGCTAAAAATCTTTTTTGACTAGGAGCAAGAAATTAAAATATTTCAAAACGCAATAAAAAAATGCAAAAAGATATGAAACATAATTATCTAGATAAAATAGTTCGAACATAAAGCATATTATGAATCACACATCTTCTATATTATTTTCATGATTTTTATAAATACTTTTTCTTTTAAATAGATAAATTTTAATTTTTTTTAGAATAATTTGAATACAATGACGCATGATAGAATTAGCTTCTATATTACATTGATTAGATATTCATAAAATGGTACGGAGTAAATTATTTTTTAATTTTTTTAATAATTCAATCTCAAAATATATCATATAACCCCCTCCGTCCTATTTTAACATGTCTTGTTTGGTTAACATGAGTTGATTGAAGTTTTTTTAATTCAATTTTTCATAATATGTTTAGTATAAGTATATAAAAATTTATAAATTTAGAAACTGCATTAAAAATTTAATATAAAAATTTATATATTTAATATACAAAATTTTCATAATATGTTTAGTATAAATATATGAAAATTTATATATTTAAAAACTACATTAAAAATACTACTCCGTATTAAACACAAAAAATCAATAAAAATAAATTTTTAAAATATACATTAGAATATAAGCAAAGACCAGGACTATGTGGTCTAATGGTACCCGAGTTGGACTTCTATTTGGAAGATTATGAGTTTAAGTCTCAGTGAAGGCGTTATTGGTTCTTTGTGTTTCAGTAGGTTGAGAGCCAGTAACTTAAAAAAAAAGATTAAAATTCAAATATCTTATCAACCAAGCTAGTTCAACTTATTATAAAACATATGTATATAAATTACTTATACTCAATACATATATACTATATATATAAGAGATAGGATGAGACCCTCCCCCAAGCATGGGCTCTAGGCAAGGTCCGGCCCTGAAACTATAGTTTGCTGCATATATGTCTAGACAAAGATAAAGACAATCGAAGATGAAACTAGGTTGTCAGAACTGTCATGACTCACGAATATATATATATATATATATATATATATATATATATATATATATATATATATATAAAAGAGTGTGCATATATGGGATGAACCTATTTCCTGTAAATAGTTCATAAATCACAAAACATCTATTGTAATAGTTTGTAAACCATACAACATTTAGCTTTGTGCATTTTCACTAAAAAAAAAAAAAAAAAAAAAACAACACTTTGTGCATTGTGTTCGATAAAGATAAAATATTAACAATAATTAAACTCGTAACTTTTAAAACTTTATATCAAGGGTGTCATATATTAAGATCAAAGATAGACGTATCATTAGTTATTTCTATTTAAATCTTAGTCTATATATAAACAAGATTATGATGTGACAATCAATATATGAATAACTCGATTTCTTGTGCTACCCAACTTATTAGCCGCAACACGTTCTGGTGCTTGAAGCATAGTGGACATAGAAATCATAGTACTAATGTACAATATAATCTTATATATACTAATGTTTGTTAAAATATTTTTAGATATTCATTGGGTACTTGACTTGTCTGATCTTCATTTGTCGCATTCCTTTTATTGGGTCGCTATAGGGCCAAAACCATAGAGTGAATATTGTTTTATTTGCAAGTTTTACGTGTAGACCAAGATGTATAATAACCCAACTAATAAAACAAAACATCAATAACTGCGTATACGCTAAGAACACATAATCACCAAATCACATTAGCAATTATTCATGATATATTATTTTCCATGAGTATACATTGAAGAATCACAATATGATGCCTTAGCTTATTATATTTCAATTAAGAAGAAAAAAAACACCCATAAGTATCGAGGATATGAGGTGAATCTCTTCTAGTTTAATAAGAAGTTTAGGGAGTGTTTGGAAACCTGAAAAATGATTTCTGAAAATCATTTTTTGAGTTTCCAGTGTTTGGATGTGCCTGGAAAACCAAGTCAACAAAAATCATTTTCCGTTGACTTGGAAAAATAAGACTATTTTGGAGGAAAATGACTTCCGCAAAAATTTGACGGGAGTTATTTTCCACATATTAAAATCGTTTCCTGGTTGACAACAATCGTTTCCAGCAGAAACCATAGGTCTGGTTTCCGCAGCGACGACCAGAGAAACACTGGTTTCCTCAGTAACAACCAGAGCAGCTCCTTTTTTTCTTTTCAATTTTTAATAAATAACATTTTTAATATTATTATAAATATTTGTATATTCTAAATAAAACAATTAAAATATTTAATTGTAAAAATGAAATAATTAATTGTAAAAATATTAATTAATTGTCTAATCCTAGCTTGGATTAGAAGTTTGGAATATTCCACTCGTCGGTGACTAATATGGGTAGCTAACCATCCAATTTCGGTGTAAAGACTCCCACACTTACCAACCAACACATCACATGGCTCCCCATAATTTTATTGACTTTTTTAGCCAGTGGATATGATTTTTCTTTACTTTAATTACCTCATTCAATTAAATAATTAATAAATAACGAATAATTGGCATGGGCATATATGTCTGATCTGCAGTGTATATGGCATATACTTATGATTACTTCGATTATAATTATATTTGTGCATGTAATCTTCCTTGTACTTAAAGATTCCAAGTGCCCCATGCATTTTATAATTAAAGCTTCATTTTTATTGCCAATGCAATGATTATTGATTATTCACAACTAAGAATGTATTGAAAAAAAACAATTGGAGTCGTTGAAGTATTCTCACTATTATGCGACTAATTTAGATCCAGTCCGAGACGCACAGGTCGATGTGCTTGTAAAGTTTCACAAGCACCCTTTTCCAAGAGTTAAATATTAAACTTTATGATTGTTTTTGTTTTTTTTTTTTTTGTTTTTTTTTTTTTTTGGTGAGAAAAAACCCGTACTCTACGCGAAAGGAACACTAGAAACTACCACACTCTTGCAGAGCTTGCATCGTAGGCGTCAGCTTCCAGCAGATGGTTAAGACTAGGCGGTGGGAGGTCAAGCCACGTTGTCCCCCAACTCGCAGACTGGCCTAGATTTGCCAGGTGATCCGCGCACTTATTACCTTCGCGCAATGTGTGCCTGAAAATCACTTTTTCCATATGCGAAGCCAAATGTTTGCAGTCTTTATAAATGGAAGAGGAGCATTCTTCTACGATCTTGTCCTCGTCCATGGCAGCCACCACGGATTCAGAATCCAATTCAAGAATGACCCTTCTAAAACCCCTGTCCCTTTGCTAGCCGTAGACCCTCCCTTAAACTCCACAGCTCCGGGGCAAAGCTATAAGAAACCCCAATATTCCTGTAAAACCTATAAAGCCATTCACCTTTGTGATCCCTAGCAAGGCCCCCGGATAAACTTTATGATTGTATTAACAGTCTTAGTAATGGTAATTGATGAATTGAATTTCAATTAAAAGAGTTAGCATTGAATGAAATAGTATGATTGAAATGATATAATTATTACAATTTCACTATTCGAGTCTTGTCGCTGTTATTTACATCTAAATTTTTACAAAATATTTTACTCCGTATATTATATGAATTATTTTGTATTATTGTATTGTATATCTCAACTCTTTATATTTTTTAATTATTTGTAAATTAATCTAATTTATCATGGATTAATTGAAAAAATACTGTCAAATTATATAGTGTACAAAAGATGTTGTTGTGTATATTTATAGCTTTAGATGTTTGATTATCACAATTAATAAAAAATATTAACCAAACAATGTAAACTTCACTTCTTTTCATTTTCATTATTGATCTCATCCGTTTGTCTCAATCAATGTATTCTAGAGCTTAATTCATTGGTTTAATAGGTAATATTTGAGATAAGAGACAAGTTCGAATCTTCATGATTTATATTCTTCCAAATGTTGTTGGGTCAGGATTGAGATTCGACCTTTTGGAGAAGAAATGTATTCTAAAATTAAATGATATATATAAAGGATAAAGAAAAAAACATGAAAGTTGGTATTCCGCTATTATGTGGTGGACGCCGGGATTAATGGAGTTTTTTTTATCTTTCTGCTCTACCTGCTCTTCTTTTGGGTGTTATTCAAAAAGAAAAAACAAAAAGGGTTTATCAATAATTGCGCGAAAACGCGTGAAGCCCGCCGAATACGGAATATTGAAGTTGTCGTTTGAAATATTGGGTCCAAGAGTCCATCTCTGCTCATTTTCAAGCCCAGTCAATATATCTATTTATGGAGGGTTTGTTGGGATCTGCCACTCTGATATAGGAGCTCAAGAAACAGAGCTAGCTGATTAGTACCCACATTTCACATTTCCACTCATTCTTTCCAATTTTGTAGCTTAGATAGCAACCAGATAGTGTGATTCAAGCAGGGTGAGATTTTGTTTTCCTATTTGACAATGCATTTCTTGGATTTTCTTGATCTGTTAGTGTGAAATCTGATGAACTGTGATGGGTTTTGCAGGTTTGGGGTTTAAGAAACAGAAATGGGGAAAATGGGGTTGAGGTGTTTGGTTTTTGCAGTATTGGTTTTGTGGAGCTTCTTATCTATGGTGAAAGGGGAGGATGATTACAAGTATTTCACTTGGACTGCCACTTATGGAACTGTTTCTCCTCTTGGTGTTCCTCAACAGGTTGCCATTGCTTATTCCCAGTATTGTTTTTGAGCTGAATACTTGCATTTTTGGTTGTGATTTTGGTAAATCAAGATTTTGTTTCTCGGGCAACCCCAACCAAGTTGGTCAGGTTGTTGACTTAGTAATCACGAGATTACCAGTTTGACTCCAACGGGAGTGGCCTTCTTGATTTGAGCGGGCTAAAGATTGTGTTTCTAATAGCATTGATGTTAACTTGCAGGTGATTCTCATCAATGGTCAATTTCCTGGTCCAAGATTGGATCTTGTGACAAATGACAATGTAATCCTCAACCTCATCAATAAGTTGGACCAGCCACTTCTCTTAACATGGTAAATGTCATGCCCTCTCTTTATACTGTATATATATTCAAGAGTATATTCTGAATCTCTGATATCAAACCTGCATTTTCCCTAAAGTTTCTTGAATTTCTTGTAGTGTAACATGCAATTGTATTATGTGTTGTAAATATGCTTGGCAATGGCATCTTGTCACATATCTTTTGTGCAAGTGAGGGAAATGTATTCCTAAATGTGAAGTTGTGATGACTTTAAAATATAGCGGTAGCCATTTTGTAGCTTTTGTGTTAATTAAGCTGTCCAAAGAAGCTATAGTTGTTTAGGAAGTCTAATTGGAGGTCCATTTTCAATGTTTAGGAATGGGATCAAGCAGAGGAAGAACTCGTGGCAAGATGGGGTTTTCGGGACTAATTGCCCTATCCCGCCAAACACAAACTACACATACAAGTTTCAAACGAAAGATCAGATTGGAAGCTATACATACTTCCCGTCAACTTTCATGCAAAAAGCCGCGGGAGGGTTTGGAGCGCTTAATGTTTATGCAAGATCAGTCATTCCAGTTCCCTATCCGAAACCTGCTGGAGATTTCAGTTTACTTATTGGTGATTGGTACAAGACTAGTCACAAGGTGAGTATGGTTCATGTTTCATTTGATTAAATAACAAGATGACTTACAATATAGATTTGACATCCTTAAACATGAATGGTTTTTGTTTGGTACTTAACAGGCTTTACAACAAATATTGGATTCGGGAAAATCTTTGCCCTTCCCCGATGGCCTTCTTATAAATGGCCAGAGCCAGTCTAGCTTCAGTGTGAATCAAGGTTATCCTCAGTACACGAAAAATCTCAGATTCTCAGTAATTTTCCCCCGGTGAAATATGTTTTTGACAACGATCGTTTTTACTATCTAGGTAATACCTACATGTTCAGAATTTCGAATGTGGGTTTGTCAACATCCATTAACTTCAGAATTCAAGGCCACAAAATGAAGCTAGTTGAGGTTGAAGGATCCCACGTTGTCCAGAATATGTATGATACGCTTGATGTTCACGTGGGTCAATCTGTATCTGTTCTTGTCACTTTGGACCAGCCGCCAAAGGACTATTTTATCGTTGCATCTACAAGGTTCACCGGAAAAGTTCTAAGCTCCACTTCAGTGTTACACTACATTAACTCTATCTCGCCTGTTTCTGGGCCAATACCCGATGCCCCAGCCGGCCAACTGGACTGGTCTATGGTGCAAGCCAGAACATTCAGGTAACCATTAGAATTTGAGTCTCAGTAGAGGCGTTATTGGTTCTTTGTGTTTCAGTAGGTTGAGAAAGTATATAAACAGATACTACATTGTAATAGAGCCAGTAACATTAAAAAAAAAAGGTAACCATTAGTCAAAATCTTGGATAATGAGCGTAGTTGTAGTTATACTTTGCGATGGCATAATATCGAAATGTATCTGTTGAAGGTGGAATTTGACTGCAAATGCTGCTAGGCCTAACCCTCAGGGATCTTTCCACTATGGGAAAATTACTCCATCGATGACGATTGTGCTGGCCAATTCAGCACCGATTATCGGTGCAAAGCAGAGATATGCTGTCAATAGAGTGTCCCATATTGATCCCGACACCCCTCTCAAGCTTGCTGATTACTTCAACATCACCGGAGTCTTTAGTCTTAATGCAATTCAGAGCTCTCCTTCCGATGGTGCACCTTCCCTAGCCACGGCTGTGCTCCCCACTTCTCTTCACCAGTTCATCGAAATTGTATTCCAGAACGACGAGGACACCATGCAGTCTTGGCACCTTGATGGCTATGATTTCTGGGTTGTAGGGTAAGTAACTCAATACCAATACTGCACTATTCTCGTTCTTGGTATGGTCACGATGAGCATTTGTTTCTTAACGACTTCCTATCGCAAACATTCACAGATTTGGCTTGGGGAAATGGACCGGAGCTAGTAGACAGAACTACAATCTTGTCGATGCACTTACTAGGCACACTACACAGGTAACAAATAAAACATTAAAACCTTAAAAACACAACATTGCATTGGTTAGGCTCTTGACTTGGTAACCACAAAGGTTACAAGCGGCTTATTGGCTTTCTTGGTTTGAGCCAGTCAGCTATGGACAACCTAGGTTGGTTTACCTCCCTGTAGTCCATTGCTGGCTAGGATCAGAAGGCAGGGTTTACCCAGTGTTCTCGGGTACTGGCTGCGGGTTTCCCTTGTCACCCAAAAAATCCATCTACTTTTCTTGCAAAGGAAAATGCGTTTACGCGCCCCTTCATTTTCTTTCTTCCACATATGCAGGTTTATCCGAAATCTTGGAGTGCTATACTGGTATCCTTAGACAACCAAGGAATGTGGAATTTGAGGTCTGCAATATGGGAAAGGAGGTACCTAGGACAGCAGCTGTATATGAGAGTGTACAATCCAATTAAGAATTTTGCCAATGAATATGACATGCCTAATAATGCTCTACTATGTGGAAGAGCTGTAGGTAGACATCTTTAGAGATGGTTTTTTTTTTTTTTTTTTTTTTTTTTTTGTGTGTGTGTGTGTGTGTGTGTTAGTTGGACCAGTCATGAAAGGTTGACTGCAAGAGATGATGATACCGAAAAGCAAATGTTTTTGTGCTTGAATTATATATGCCTCTTATTCAAATTGTATATCTGAAATCCTGAGTGTTGTTAAAACTAATTGTTTTTTTTGTAGCATCATTATATTATTGATCCCCTTGAGATTATATCTTAGGAGTATAAAGAAATGCAATATAATGCAATGACTTCAAATTATTGGCCTGAGACTTTCAAAGGGCGAGAGTTTTTTGCTTCAGGAAGAAACAAAAATGATATTTGGTTTTGGCGTATAAATTTTATATATGTATATTTCAGTGAAACTAAATGACATTTGGTTTTAACGTATAAAATTTTCTATATTGAGACTAAATCTTATAAGTATATGTCGCCATAATTTTTAAAAATAGCATTAAAGTCACACTATTTCCTGAATTGTAACTACTTTGTTCACTACTACTATCTAGTATCAATTAATTGAACTACAACAAGGCCTATAAGTGGAGGTATAACAGGACCAAATAATCAAGTAGGCTTTGAATAATCTTAGACAAAACTATATTTTTATTGGGCTCTCTCTAGTACAATTCTGTTCAAATATTTTGAGGCATGCAAGACCAAATGAACATTGGACAAATATAAGCCCAATACTGCTGGTTCTTGATGATTGATCATTTCTGTTTAATTTTTATTTTTAAATTAACATAAAAGAAATTCTAAAATCCCAATCGATACTAGCTCATGGGGCTAGGGGAGAAGGAAAATTATGCTGCGGAAACAAGGTGGACACGATTTCAGATTCACAATTTTTATATTGTAGATTCATAATTTTTTTAATTAAAAAAAATATTGTTTTTCACTTGTTAACGTCGTCTTTCTCTTCGCAATCGCATTGTTTCATCTTCAGTATGAATCTACACTGTAGAAATTATGAATCTACATTAAAGAAATTATGAATCTACAGTATTAGGTTTGTGAACATGTGATAGAGCTATATGTTCATAATTATAGAGTTATATGTTCATAATTTTCGATATTCCCAATTGTTGAACTCTGTATTCACAAAGCATAGAACTATATGTTCATAATTTGATAACTATACAGTTTAGAAATTATGAATCTACAGTACAAATATTATGTATCTGCAGTATAAAAATTATGAATCTACTGTATAGAAATTATGAATCTACTGTATTTAAATTATGAATCTACAGTTTAAAAATTATGAATTTATAGTATAGAAATTATGAATCTGGAACCGTGCCCACTTTGCAAGGTGGGCACGGTTCCACAACATAACGTTCCAAGGGAGAATTAGTGGGCCATGTGGTTTGGGCTTAGAGGGGATGAGGACATTGTCAAAGGTGGCACCGCCAAGGGCTCGACTAATCGTCACATGCCCACCGGCTCGCCTCGTGGTGCACCGCGATACATGGATCGACTAGCCATTGTCGCATAGGGATGGTTGTGCCAAACAACAGTCCTGGGTGGGGACAGTTTAGAAATTATTGTACTTAAATTTTGATGATGTTAAAAATGTATCAAGACTTTAGACAACCCAATTCTTTTGTTTTTAGTATATGCCAAAACTTAGATCTTTATTGTAAATCAACTTGAGTTTGTTTAAGTTGATCAACATAGGAATCAAATTGGGTTCTGTCAAAGAGTTTGCTACAGTGTTTCAACAGGGTTGAAGTCAGCGAGCAACGGACATCAGACCAACGAAGGCAGACAAGTAGAAACAAGACCAATGAACTTGTGACTAGCTGGGTTCCTAACAAGTTAGAAAGTTTTCTATGTCTTTTCATCAGTGGACTTTCTTTCAAGGCAAGTTAGGAACTGAGAAGCCTTTTAGAAGGAGACACATGTATTAATCCAGTGGTTGATGAAGAAAAGACAAAGTGCTACACGTTCTTTTTCAAAATTGCACTAACACTGTAATGAGGAAAGGATAAAAGTTGTTACACAATAAAACAAGCAGTACAATTGCAGCACGTCGGAGTGTTGTGACAGAATTAGACACCTGTCGCACTAGGGGGTGATGACTCTCATTTTATACTATATTTCACGTCATTCTTAACCCCTTTGTTATGCTCAATTCAAGGTGTTTATTTGGATTTTCAAATTAAAAGTTGTGTTTTATGCTCAGTTGTGCCCAAATACACTTTTGAGAGGAGAATAAAACTTTTAAAAAAAAGAAGTAAAAACTGATCAAAATAAAGCAAAAATGCATGAAAAAGAGCACACGAAAGTAAACTGGGGAAAAAATATGCAAAATGAGCGAAGATGAAGTTCATAGCACGGAGGCAAGGCTACGCATGGGCGATGGCATTCCCGTGCGCCGCCCGTGCATAACTCACCAACGCGGCCTGCTTTTTGCACGGGCACACCCGCACGTGCAGTGGCACGCCCATGTGGGGCCAGTGCGCCAAACCCTGGAACCCCCTTATAAATAGATCTTATTCCTGTTTTGGTAAAGAGAGTAGCCCCTAGTGAACAATAGCAGTGGGGAAATTTTCTAGATTATGTTATTTCTATCTTTTCTTGTTATTTTATTGCTTTACCAAGTTATATTTTGTGATTCGTAGCATATTACTTTGTTCTTATATTTATTGCTTTTATCTTGTGAATCTTTACTTTGTTGAAGGATTAACTCTCTATTTATTTAATTTTCATAATTTATTGTTGGATGATGTTATTTATGAATGTTCTTGTGTTTTTCCTATTTATTATGAGTGAGTAGCTTAGTATAGGGGTGGGATATAGTGGTGTATATTGTATTTGAGGTCTATTTGATGCATATTGCATAAAAAGGTTTGAAACCCAACCTAATTAAGGTTTTTGTTCTTGTGAGATGTTTTGTATTCTTGTATTGATGGATTTATGCACAACTTTGTATATACTTGTCTAGTATGAGATTTTGGCAACCGTTCAAGCAAGGAGTCCACGGATTAGCATACCCCTAGAATCGTCTCTCAATCGCCAACTTCTCTTAGACCACATCTCACGACCTCCAGGTTCACTTACGAGAGTAGGAAGGGACAACCCTTGTGTTCCGATTCGACCTAACATTGGATCACGACAGTGACGTGTTAGTACACCGAATTGGTGTTGGCAGTCTTTGAACCTGAAGTGAAGTTTCATAACCTTCAATGATTTGTTCTCGCATTTGACCAATATATACCCATTGTGATTCCTGCTTCTAAACAAACATAGAACCAAATTGGCTAAGATTTTTAAACTTGAGGACTTAATTAGGCAAAAAATAAAATCAATGACCAAATTGATAATTTCAATATAGACTATTTCGGTAATTAACTCTATAAAAAATATATATAAACTTTGAAAAATAGATAAATTAAAACTGATGATCCCGGAACCCGAAATCGCATCAAGAGAAATCCAGATTTTGGATCCGCAGAAGCCTCCCATTGTCTTCGCTTCTCACATTGCCATTTGCATTGCTGCAATTCCATGTGATTGTTTCAATCTCAAGCCAAACCCAGTTGCTCCCCTCCCAGGCCAGCTTTCATATTTCCATTCATATTCATAATTTATTAATATAATTTTTAAAAATTTATAAATGAATATAGCCATTAATGCTCATATTTATGATGATCCGTCCTTGGCTGCGTTCTTCCCGCTTTAAACCAAACCTAAAGGTTAAAACCCACTCTCATGAATATTTTCTTTAAAAAAATCATATCACAATTACTAAAAAGTCAATGATGTACCTAGTTGAAAATACTATATATTATTTTGAAAGAAGAAACTAAAATTTGAAACTCGACAATGACAGTGTGAGCAGTATGAAGATTATGTTTAAAGTGGACAAATTCCTTATGTACATCGACATTTGGTCATGTCTATTAAGTTATTAAGTTATCGTAATTTATACTCTCACAAATGTTCTATCGAGTCAGATTGAGGAATCAACTTTTTAGGAGTAGATGAATATCATAATAATTTCTTTATCTTGAAGTATATATTGAGACTTTCAAGAAATTCTTGTCAACCTTACCCTGCCTGATTTTCATCTCACATGCCCTCCTTGTAGCCTAACACTACTCATCTGACTATGAATCTAATTTAAAGCCCTCGAAACACCTACAGTTCAATTAATTAGCTAATTCAAAATAATTTTGTAAATTTGTTACTAGGCGTAGGGTGCAGGGTTTGAAACTTCGTATGTAAATTGAGACATATTTCGCAATGATTTATCAAAATAGTTATGTTTAGAATTCACACTTATAAATTCGATTCAGAAAGAAATTTTTAGTGTAAATATATGGGTGGCCAATGCATAAATAACTAAGTTAATAAAATCACTAAGAACTTGGGGTTATTGAGAGCAATGTTGTAAAAATCGGCCTAGACACCCCTAGGCGGCTATTTTAGCTCTATGCGAATTTTAGTCGGTTGATCGACTAATTGGTCGACTCGGTCGAGTTGAGCGCCTAACTCGACCGAGTCAGTGCCCAACTCAATCGAGTTTGCGTTCAATTTGGTCTATTGGTTTTCTTTTTTGCTTGCTCAGCTACTCATCTTCTATATTTCTCTAACCATGTACTTTACTAACAGGTTGACTAATTTCGAGATTATAAGAGTCTAACAATTCATAACCCTGAGTTGGAAAAGTGAAAATGATATATTCAGATTACTCGACCCCCTAGGCGCCTGACTAGCGCCTTATGCAGCATTGATCTGGAGAACTCTAGGATGATGAGGATGTTAATGAGAGATTGAGAAACCTTGACCGATCAAAGGAAATGGAAATCTTTGTGCCCAAAGTGCAAAAGCAATGTGAGGACCTGGAGACTAATGGGTTAAATGCAATTTACCTGCTCCAACTATTCTGGAGATGGCATTTGGCACTATCTACTGAACCATTGAGTCACCGTGATTTACATCATCTCACATGCTCTATCGGGTCGGAATGCGGAGCCCTTAGGATTGGGGATTCAACCTTTTGGATAACGAATTCTGGAGACTTAACAAATAATCTAGTCTGTGAGATAGTCATGTTTAAAAAAAAAAGTAAATAGAATTATAGAAAGTAGAAAGGGTGTAGGCATTAATGAGCATGAATTGCGGCGCAAAAGAGCTTCGATTTCATCTGGAAATGTGTGTGTTCGATCCATCAAACACCCAAGAAGTTTCCCGCGTCGACACTTTGTTTAGTTTAATTTCTTATATAAACTCTCATCATCTTTCTCGTACATCCATGTTATTAATTACTATCTGACATCGTACCCTTCGATCTCTCCTCGGTTGAACTGAGGATCGAGATCACACATTCACGTACTTCAACTCCTCCATATCATATCCCATAATAATTACTTGCTCCTTCTAGGACTGTTATCATCATCCAGTCAAGAAAATGAGACAGCCACCTTCTGGTTTTCTGCGTTTTCTACTGGGAGTTTTAGCTTTTTTCTGCATTTCCATGGTGGAAGCTGAAGACCCATACAGGTTTTACAACTGGGTAGTTCAGTATGGAACTATTTCTCCTCTTGGCGTCAAACAACGGGTAATTTAATCATTATTATACTAATATATAATATAATCTCCATATATATGATTAGTGAATTAATGATATGGAAATTAAACTTCATTAATGACAGGGAATCTTGATCAACGGACAATTCCCGGGACCGGAGATTAACGTTATTACTAACGAGAACGTGATTGTTAATGTGATTAACAAGCTTGACGAGCCTATACTGTTCACATGGTGAGTCTTAATTACGTAGATTAATTGCATGCAGAAGAGTAGCTAGTGTTGTGTTTAATCTAATTAATCTGTTTTAATTTGTTGAATTTTGTGGGAATGAAAATGAATTTAGGAATGGAATCAAACAGAGAAAGAGTTCATGGACGGATGGAGTTCTGGGGACGAACTGTCCGATTCTCCCAAACACAAACTGGACTTACAGAATGCAGATGAAAGATCAGATTGGGACTTATTCATATTTCCTCTCAACTCAGTTGCATAGGGCCGCCGGCGGTTATGGAGCGCTCAACATCATCCGCCGCTCCGTCATTCCACTTCCGTACCCTGAACCCTCCGCCGTTTACACTCTCATCGTCAGCGACTGGTGGAACACTGATCACAAGGTTTAATTTCATGATGATCACTACTTCACTGTATATATATATATATATATATATATATATATATATATATATATATATATATTCCTGTTAGGATCAGAGTTATAGTGACGTGTCTTTAATACCATCTATTCAGATCAAACTCTAACTGCTACATTACAAGTTGTAACGAAAGCCTAACTTTATTTCCTTTTAACTTTGATACCACATTTTTCATAAACAGAGTGCTAGATTTGGCCCAACAATCTCTTAGAGGCCGGCTAAATCCTAAGTTATGTTGTGACTATAATCAGCAAAGGACCACCAACTTAAGTTACTCATAATTGACAGATTCAAATTAATAAAAAAACCAATAAACTTCTTCTCCTAAGTGCTAGTATATATTAGACTATGTAGAATATTGCCTTTGTAGTAGTGTTCCTTAATGCAACAAAGTTTTTATGGTACTAATGTTTTGTTTGTTTTAAATGGTGACCTATAGCAACTGCAAAAACAACTGGATACCGGGAAGCCTTTCCCTTCCCCCAAGGGCCTTCTTATCAATGGACGCCTTAATTCTGTCACCTTCACAGGCAAGCAAGGTGAATCTTGTTCTGATTCCAAATTGAAGAATATGTTATATCTTAAATATCTAAATTATATTTTATACATTATATACTCGAACTGAGATGTACGTTTTCATTTTTCAATCAGGGAGCACATACATGTTCAGGGTGTCAAATGTGGGCATGACAACCTCAATTAACTTTAGGATCCAGAACCATAAACTGAAACTGGTGGAAGTTGAAGGCAGTCACACGATGCAAGACCAGTACGATTCACTCGATATCCATGTCGGCCAATCCGCGGGGTTTCTCGTCACCTTAAACGCAGATGTTAAGGATTATTACATTGTCGCATCGAGTCGTTTCGTAAAGCCATATATGACAGCATCTGCAATCCTTCACTACGATGGATCTGTAACCAAGGTCCCCGGAAAATTGCCGGATCCTCCCGCCGGTCAATATCACTGGTCAATGCGACAAGCCAGAACTATTAGGTAAAATAATACTATTCCCGTCCCATTTTATGTGTTATTAGTACATCCTCTGGTAGTAACGTAACTGCGTCCTCCTATAATAGTTGACATTTTTCCTCATAACTCAAAAAAGTATAAAGTTGGTTTGAATATTGAATAGTAAACGTGACAGAAATGAGACAGATGGATATAGTATCTATCTTTTAGGTTTACTACTTTATATCAGAACTTTATTCAAGGAGAATCAAACTCTTTTCGCTTGGTTGTACAGGTGGAATTTGACGGCGAATGCTGCGAGGCCGAACCCACAAGGGTCGTACCATTACGGGACGATTCCGATAGTGAGGACACTGGTGTTAGAAAACACGAAAGAAAACATAAGTGGCATAACACGTTATGCCTTGAACAAGGTGTCGTACGTTAACCCGACAACGCCGTTGAAGCTGGCAGACTGGCTCAACATCCCCGGAGTTTTCACCCTGAATGCAATCAAGGATACACCTCCGGCCGGGCCGGCCGTTCATGGAGTCAGCGTCTTCGGTCTTGAGCTTCATGACTATGTGGAGATCATATTCCAGAACAATGAGAAAACCCTCCAGTCTTATCATCTTGATGGCCAAGATTTCTGGGCTGTCGGGTATGCTCTGATCTCCCATTTTCCAATCAAATGCTCTATAATATTTGTCCATTAATTAGTCATTTGTGATATAAGAGAAAGCGGGCACCAACTAGGTAAAGTTTGTATTGTGACCTTAGCCAGTAAATAATCAGAGGTAAACTAACTCAGGTTATCTATAGTTGACCAATTCAAAAAGGTCAATAGACAGCTCCTACAGAGAGTTAAAATTTGAACATTAATGGTTACCAAGTCAACTCACAGACCCCAATTTGGTTGAAATTGTCCCATTCTAACATATTAAGCCTAAATAATGTTGTTTTGGTCTCAATTTTAGGTATGGGGGTGGTGTTTGGGACTCTACCTTGAGGAAAAAATACAATTTGGTTGATGCCACAACTAGATACACCGTGCAGGTAAACATATTCTTCAATGATAAAGTTATTACCATACATATTCTTTCACCGCCAAACCTAATTGAGATGGAGTGTGTGACTCGCAGGTGTATCCGAATTCTTGGACAGCAATATTGGTGTCTTTGGACAACAAGGGTATGTGGAATCTAAGGTCTTCAGTTTGGCCAAGGAACTACCTAGGACAGCAAGTGTACCTTAGAGTGTGGAACAATGAACACAGTTTATACACCGAAAACGACATGCCACCAGACACTTTACTCTGTGGCAAGGCTAAACTAAGCTAAGCTAAGCTAGCTTAGTCAAATGAAGATACGTTAAAACACCCAGGATTCCAGTTACGAGAGTGTGACTGTAGAAAATATATGAATTGAAACATGTTCCATTTTATCATATTTCAAAAATTTGTTTGGTTGGTTGGTTAGTTAAAACAGGTTCATTCTTATCAATGAAGCTTGTCTTTAATTTGGTGTTTTTTTTTTTTTTTAATTAACAGTTATTCTTGAGCCCATTAATCTTTGTGTAGCCCCATACTGTATCAAACTATATAAATGTACCATTTATTGTATGACATTGCAATGAATAATATGAAAATATTCATATGTTCTTCCCAAACGAAAATATTCATATGTTAAGTTATAGTGAAACTGATTAATTAATGTGATGCATGTTGATCATATAATATGTAAAACTAACATAAATGTGCAATTTAATTATCAGATTTATAGATTGAAACACTCCCTTCAATTATACCTAATTCTTTCTAAGCATATATGTTCCTATGAAAACAACTAACCAAGAACAACCGTCGAGACAATCCGAACCATATTGGTCATGACTCATGATGTTTAGTACCATAAGATTATAAGTTTAATCCTAGGTATGGGTGGGGTTTAATTTGCCCAGAGCATATCCTCACGTAGTGACTAAACAACATTAGACAATGCACAAATGTGAAGTTTTATACCACAACCCAACATCATATCACAAAGAGTAGAAAAAAAAAAGACAAGAAATTAATAACAACTAAACATAAAATGGGAATTTGTTTTTCTAAGTAATAAAATATATTTATAGGTGAGGAATGAGAGTCAAACTTGGTCCGTGGCAAAAGCAGCTTTACGTGCTAGCTACTGCAAAAACCGGCCGGAGCCTTCAAGGATATGCGCCGCCGGTTGTCGGAAGGTCGGACCACGTGGAAAGTGAAGGGTTCCAGTAACCGAATTCTCCGGCTGCCGACACCGGAGCTGACTCCAAAATCGCCGGTGACAAAACGGAGGATGAAGCCGCATTTCCGAGGAGAGCTAGCGGGTGCTCGTAGCAATTAAGGTTGTAGTTGTTTGTAGCGGACGATGATGATGATGATGATTTGATGAGTCTTTGATATAACAGCTCTTGCATTCCCACGGTCTGAGCGTCGCCGGCGGCGAGAATGAATCCGTTTTGCAGTTGGCCTCGGTGCTGACTGTTTCTCCACAAAGCCGGAGCTTCGACGCCGGAGTTCATCACCGTGCTGGGATTAGGGTTTTGACTGGATCTTAGCAGGGAAAGAAAGGGGTGATGGTTGGTGTTCTGGGGTGGTCCAAACAGGAAAGTTTTCGACGATGGAATCTCCGGTTCCAATCCGCCAAGAAAAGTAGACTTCCACTTTGTGCTCGTGGCGGCGGCGGCGCTGGACTTCCCGATAGACGCGCTCACGATGGTGCTCTTGTTTTTCCGGCAGCCGCCTCCGATGGGGACGTTACGCAACGCGCCTCCTTTGGTCCAGTAGCGGCGGCAAGTCTTGCAGAAATGGCGCGGCTGGGTGAGATTATAGTTGTTATAGTAACAGAACTTCGTGTTGGAAGAATCGCAGCGCGGGCACCTCAAATTCTCCGACCTCGACGTGGGAGACGACGAAACCAAAGGACCAGAAGAAGTAGAAGAAGAAGAAACCGCGGCGGCCAAAGCGGCGGCGGCCGCCGTATCTGTAATGGATAGCTTTGGAGCATTATTACTTTCCCCTCCTCCCAGCAGCCCACCATTCCCAGCTGCTAACAGCTCCTGAATCATCTTTTGGTCCCTATAACAAGAATCTAAAACCAAGAAAAGCTGGATTAGCTAGGCTAGCTTTAAGTTGTAAATGGGAAAGCAAAAGATGATAGAAAGAAAAGTGGATTTTGTTGTTTGTTGGCTAGCAAAGTGTGATTCTCATGGTTTCTAAGCTCACCTTGCCTTTGGGAGTTCATCAATCTTGGCTCTTTTCTCTTAGCTTTTTTCTGCAGGGAAAAATAATATAGGGATATTGTAAGGCATGAAAAATTGGAAGCTTTACTGTATATATATAGGAATATAATAGGACAACTTTAAGTGATTGAGAAGAAGTAAAGAAGTTTCCGCAATTATTAAACCTAAATTATTTTAGTCCTATATTGAACAAAATAAGTTAATTGATAGAAAATTTTAAAGTGTGGATCCTCACATGTATGGTGTTGTACCTAATATAAACATGTAGATAGATGTAGCAAACTGTAGCACCAATAATGATACTTATTACAACCTGTTATACTTGTGTAGTTGTATCAAGTATAATATGGCATTGGGACAACCTAACCAAGTTGATCCGACTGTTGACTTTGATAATTAAAATGTTACAAGTTTGACTCTAGCAAGATTATCCTATTCGCCTTCTTGACTTTTGGTTTGAGCTGGTTAGTTATGAACAATCTAAGTTGGTTTACCTTTGTATGATCCTTTGCCAGTTAAGGTCATAAGGCAGGGTTTATCCCGTGTATACTCAGTTGTCTTGTTGCATTAATATATAAAAATTATTATTATTATTATTATCTTTTTTTTAGATTATGTGGGAAGAGATTGTCATAATCCTGTATTTATCATTACATCAAAATTTATAATTAATAGTCAATCACAAATTTAATTTGTTATATTTTATATAATTTAGCACCCGCGTTTAGATGACAAAATGATGGAGATGAATAAGGATACTCCAAAACAAAATACTTAGCATCTATTCAGAGTAGGCACTCTCTTAACTTGGGAGACGCCTATACCATCTTCATCAAGTGCTTTACGGTTTAGTTAATTATATAAAATTTTAGTTATGGATAAACAATATGTATTTGTCGGCCGATCCCAGAATAGGAACTTTCATGCAAAAAAACTGCAGAAAAAAGGAAAGTAAGACGCAAAGACCACTTGGTCAATACTTAAAAACAAAGTGTCTGCTCTTAATTTTGGAGTTTAGTTATAATTGGTATAAATATGGAGGAAAGAGAATGGACATTTCTTCACGCCTCCTTTTGAGCATGCTACAAAATATATATATATATATATATATATATATATATATATATATATATATATATATATATATATATATATATACACACACATAGAGGAGAGTTCAAATGAGAACACTTGCTTAAGTGAGATCAATCGCATTTGCACACACTTAAGCGCGTTCGCACACATTTAATCGCGTTTGCACACACTTAATCTAGACCATTAAAATTAATTAGATTGATGCACAAGATTTATTTTCACATCCTCACCTATGCAAGCGTTCTGATATGATCCTATATATATATATATATATATATATATATAATTTTTGCTGTCTTCGAGATTTTTTGTGTCTGTAGAGTGTTTCTCATTGATGGTGATGGCTTTTAATATTCCAACCCTAACAAGAATTAATATAATGGGAATTGTAGATGAAAGGTAATTATTAGTTTTGCCTAGGTCTGACTCCTTTATGCTCTATAAGTTATTCATCAATTTTTTATGTCTTATATATGTTACTAAAAGATGACGTAGTATTCGAGCTTAATGGAGTGAGAAAATAGCACCCATGCCTATTTTCGTGATTTGAACCTAAACTAAATTTGTTGAGTGGGTTAGAGGTTTAAGGGTAGTACCCGGCAATGTAGTATCATGTAATTTTGTAAATGTACCATTAAAATTATATACGACATGATGATTGTAAATTTAGATATATTATTATCTTAATTTAGTAAAAGAATTTCTTTCATTTCTGTAAACCTAGCAAAATTGAGGAACCACATAAATTTTTTTCTTCATTTTTTCGTCTTTATTCGTGATTTCTTGCTCTCAATTTCATTTTTCCTCAATATCATATACTCGTATTTTTTTTTTTTTTTTTAAAGGTAAAACCTCCCCAACTAAACCACACCTAAAGAAAATTAGTGGATAATATAGCATTCATAATGCATGATTATTGCATCAATCATGTTGATTAAACAGTCAACCTTTCTCAAAGCACTGAGGTTTCCATAGTGAATTATGCATATGATGACATTAAGGAACAATCATTATAAATCCAAGGAGAGGGCTTATCACATGAAAAAACGTGCATGGTCATCGATATGATGCCTGCCTGCCCTCATCTCCATACATAATAAATTAAACTCAACAAATTCAATATTCCCTCGATAACTCAATTAATTTTTGTGTGGTAGACAGTAAACAATTCAAAAACAAAAGATCAAATTTTAACAATTGCAGAGTTTCATTCAATGTGATGAGCTTGTTTTGAACACCAGACATTCATTCTCTGATTTAATAGGTTACTGAATTACTATGATTTACACTCAATTATTCTATTGACTGGTCTTGGGGTCAGAAATTCAATTTTACGTTAAACTAACAAATAGTAGGAGAAGGTAATTAGTTTAATAAAGCAAGTATTGTTCATCGGAGAAAGGAAATCGATAGAGAAATGATTGCCGTTGAATGCTACACGACGAGCGCACGTCGATGATGGGGCGGGGGTGATTATATTCCACGAACATACACAGTCATATGAAAGCGTAATTATATGATTGATGATGTCGGCCAATATGTTTTTGCAAACGGAACCGACAAAGATATCTTGGATTCCTGGTTGTTAAAATTGACCAAAACCCCAAACTTTTTTAATAATTAATAATAATAATAATAATCATCGAGGTAAGCTAAGCCAAGTCAGAGAGATCATCATCGTCGACTCGTCGTCCACGGTTTATGACAAGAAGATGATTATGCATGCATGTATGTCATGCTGGGAATTGATGAAGTTTGTTAAAATATCAGTTTTCACATTATTTATGTTATGTGTTCGGATAAGAACTATATATAATATAATTATATTCATGTGAATCTGAGAGCCCACTTTTGTTACCTAACCAAATTCAACACAAAATTATTTTCCATGCAAATAGCTAGACTTGATGTAACCCCCACGCCAAATCTTCAGATCAAGTCCCACTCCCAATTTGGGGTTTGTTTCTATCATCACTTGGCAACTAATCCCCGCTTCAAGAGACACAGGAGCTGGTCAAGGAGAATGAGAATTGTCAGGATTATCTCTAGGATTGTCCCCATAAAGAAGTTCAATTATCACTTGAGCTACCCCTTTGAGTTATTAATAACATTCGATTCAGGTTTATTGAGTTCGATCAATTTTCTCCCGTGTTGAAAACTATGCACCTTGATTGTAGACGAGAGTGAGTACAAGACCATGGGCAGAGCCAATACGGGACAATGGGCCAGGGTAGCTGCCCCCCTCCCCCATTCAACTCACCCTTTATATATAGTGGACCCTTGTCAAGGGGTGGAATCTCCCTGCTTGATTAATTATTTTTCTCAAAATATTTCATTTATTTTAATCTTTCGCCCTCACTGGATGAAATTTCTGACTCCGCCCCTGAACGAGACCAATGCCACTATCGAATATCGAGAATTTAATTCAGAACAGGTAAGATCAGAGGGGGGAAAATCAAGATGAAAATGGGATAAAAGGGCAAAGGAACATGGGCTGGTATTAGTGAAAGTGGAAAACGAGAGGTGAATGCAAAGGGAAACATTCATCCAGAGGATAGAGGTGGTGGCCGGCCGGAGTAGGACCACCATACACACCAAAAAGAACAACCATGCACATATATATGGAATGATAATGCAACTATATATATTGTATCTATAGGTGATGACATAGGGTTCAATTATAGGGTTTGGACCAACCTTTCACTCTATCATCAATTTCCTGAGTTTCCATGCCTTAGGACACAAGAGGTCATCTTCACCTGCCACAAAAAATTTCCCTTTTTAGATTAAAAAAAAGGAATAAAATTATAAAAATGGTACATTATATATACATCCAAAAGACGAAAATATGTAAGAAAGATACGGACCCGGAACACTGACCGCGCGTGCCGTCCGGAACGCCACTACATTCACACACTTTAACAAAGAAACAACAATCCTCAGATTCTTCACTGACTCACCACTGACCCCTCTGTACACCCACCCTTTTTTTATCCATTATTGTAACTTTTTATATCTCATTTTCTAATTTATTTTATTTATTTCCTGAAAAAAAAAAAGAGTTATAATACCAAATTTCAACTAATTGACATATTAAAGAGTTATCGAGTTTTTTTTTGTATTTTTTTTTTGAGAACCAACGAAACAATTATATATTATAATAGCTCAGAAATACAATTAGGAGGGGCTAGATGCCACTCTCTTAGGACAGAGGATAAACCAGGCAATCAGCCACCCGCACAAGCGTATGAGACTGTCGCTATAAGAAAACAATAAAATATTTGCAGACTTAGTAACCGGTCGATTGAATAGGTAATTAAGTACAACTTAAATATTTACAGGTTTTAGTATTTTTACCTATAAAAATTCATTGGTAGATCGAAAATTTTAGGATTGGTATTTTTATTTAGGCAAAATATTATGTTAATGTAGAAAATTAAGGAACCAGGCACATTGAATTGGCAAAATGGGGCCGGGTCCCTGTTGAGGGTAACCCTTGATGAGGAAAATCATCAGCTTTTTCCAGGGCCCTAAAGACATTATTATTCCTTCTCTAGCTAGCTAGCTAGCTTTGCTAGTTACCTATGTATATATATCTTGCTTTCGATGAACACAAGGGTACCCTACAATCATTTTCATACCTTCAATTGGATTTACACATAATTTGTAGTTTTGTACTATTAAGCTATTTGTGTGCTTCACTCTTGGCTTCATCTAGGAGATAATCGGATCCTTAATTAACCAAATGGTCTATATATATTTTTATGTGTTGTTAATTGACACATTAATTAATAAATTCCAATCATTATATTGTTCATCTAGAGACAAGCTAAGGGTGGAACACCAATAAATTTAAAAATATAAATAAAACAATTATATATAGTTTTTGTCCATTTGGCTAACCAAGGTCAAAGGAGTTTATGGTGCAAAACTGGCTTTGAGTACGTTTTCTCTTGAATTTGAAGTGGTTGAACCCCCTACCTTCCTACCGATAACAAAGTTTAAGTGTGACTTCTCATTTACT